ACATTCACAGACCTAAATCTAGGGATTAGAATGGAAGTGGATGGCTGAAAATCCTTGGATAATACAAGACATAAACGGAATTTCACTTTCCCAGAGGTATTTCACTCCTGACAGCACTAGTCTGTGTGCATGTTATTCCACCTTTAAAATTACTATTGTGGAGCATTCTGCAGCTGTGTTGAAGTTACTCATTTATGTGGCTTGGGCCAGTTTCTGAGAAACAGGCAGAATGAGAGAGCAGAAGAATCCATCAATGTTAGATTTGAACAAAGAAAATTATGATATTTTTGGACTTGTTGTCTTCCACATTGCCAATATAGATATAAAAATAAAGGATAGAAATGATACAGATTACAGGGTAGTTATAGAGAGTCCTAATTTTCAGGGAAGGGGCATGGGAATAGGGAAAATTCCACAAACTTATTGACTTAAAATGTCTCTTCCTTGGGGTGTTGTCTAATTGTTTTCCTTTATGTATTATTTCTGTGGTTGTTTTCTCTTTCTCTGTATTAAAAAAAAATCATGTCAAAGACTTCTGAAAGTAGAACATTTGCTCATTTGAGATGAGTTCTTTACACTTCTCAAAAAACAAGGGTATCTTTGGTCATCTTGGTAGAATTTGGAAATGCATATTTTGTTTGACATTATTTGTGAATTAGATTTTTCCTCCTCAGAATAAGTGTAGAAATGCTTCCATATGTTTGAAGTTGGTTTCCTCATTTTATTAAGAAGGAAAAAAGAAGAATGTAGTTTATAGCAATTTTCATGTGAATACATATTTAATAATGCTATTTCCTCAAAGCTAAAGCAGCTTTTCTCCTGCTTCAATATGCTACCAAAGTTAAGAAGATAACATCATTTGTTTCAAAGTATTAAATTATAATTGAGATATTTTTAATATAATGAAACTAAACTATATTTTATTATTTGATTTCTTATATGAAATAGAATTTTAGGTGAGGATCTGAATTTAATTTTTTTTCCCCAAATAGCCACAAATCACATAGCATCATTAAAGAAATGCTTCAGTTTTTCAAATACTAAATTCTTTTCCATGTAATAAATTCTTCTATATAACTTTTTAAAAAGTCTATTCCATAGATCTCCTTACCAATTCCTAATCTCTTTACTAGTTCCTAAGATCTCCTTTCTAATTCCTAGGAATGTTTTAATAATTGTGGGTTTTATGGTATATTTTAATATACGGTAGATCAAACAAATGTCCTTTCATTATTCCAATTTTAAAGAATATTCTTGGCTTCTTCTATGTGAATGGTAGAATGATTTTGTGAAGTTTCAAAAATATCTACTGAGATTTTTAAAATTAGAATTTCGTTAAACCCATAAATTAGTTTAGGGAGAATAATTGATTTTCCTATCCAGGATCACAGTAAGTCTTTTCCTTTATTCAATTGTAAAGTATTTCTCTGTAAACTATAATATTCTATATAAAGGTCCAGTCTATTTTATATTTAATTACAGATTTTATGTATTTTTTTTGAGGGATGTGGGATAGGTTAGGGCAGAGAAAACATTAGACTTACTCTAAATTTTCCTAACTCAGTTTTCCCATTCTTTTTATAATGCTACTTTTAATAATGGAAAGTTAGTTACGAAGTTAATCATCAACTTATAGCAGAACAAACTATCCAATACATATGAGGATCTCCAGATTATAATAGCACAAAGAACCAATTTCTAACTTTTAAGACACCAAATTAGATGTGTTCTTAATTGCCTATCCAGAGCCTTTTAGCCAATCAGGGCGTTGATGATTTTTTTCCCTCCTTATTCTCTTGTAAATGCATAGCTGTTATCATCAGTGACTATTTACTTCAAGTTCTTTAAGGCATATTCAAGAGGATTGGAATACATTCAGCGATATCAGCATCAAAAGTCTGTTCCTGGGTTGCCCATCTTGGGCAATGGCATTACTACAATTAAAACTTTGGGCTCCTCTCTTTTGTTTCCTGCCCAACTAGGCTCACCCACCCAGTCCTCTTGAGTACTCCACCAGTGTTACTCAATGGATCTCTTTTCATTCTTACATTTCCAAGCATCCCCTCTCTCTGAAGTCATCTCCTATCAGTTTGTCCACACGAGTACATTTCACATTTACCCAGCCAGAGTCATCTTCCTGACACTCAAATCTAATTCCCCTCACTTGCTTAAACACAGGATAAACCCAAAAAATATACATGAAAAGAGCCAGCTGTATTTTGCAATGTTATGTTGGGTACTAGTTATACAAAGATAAATAGGAGCTGGACTTATACCTAGTTATTAAGGGATAAAGGCCAGACTTGGTAGCATCACAGCCTAGCAGCTAGTGACCGGAACAGATTGAGTTCCTGCCATTACCCTACCTGTCTCTTGACATCAGCCAAGAAGGACTCCTGAGAATACATTCACCTTGATTCTACCTTGTTTTGCCTGTTCTTCATGGCAAAACTCGTACCCTTCTTTCGATGCCAAATTCAGTGTTATCTGCGATGTGAAGCTTTCCTCAATGTTTCTCTCACTTCTAACACCATACAGGGTAGAGCTAACTGCTTCCTTGACAGCTGTTTCTCAGCAGTTAGTTTGTACTCTGATAGAAACTCTGCTAGCTGATTGTCTCCAGTTCTGTCTTCTGGCTTTATGGTTTTTAGCTTGTAGCAGAAGCCCTGGGTCAGTCTCCTTTGATACCCTTCCTATTCTCTTACAAGTAGGCACTATAATGCTCAAGTCTGAGAGGAAGCCAATAAGCAAAGAAGGTGCTCAGGTTTTGTTTTTTCTTTTTTCTTTTCTTTTTTTTTCTTTTTTTGGATAAATTGGTAGTATTTTCTCAAGGCAAAAGTTCAACTTATTTTTTACACTTCTGAGTCTCTTTTGTACTTCTGAGTCTCAGTGAAAGCAGCTTGGAGGCAGCATAGAATCCTGGAAGGAGGGTTGGTTTGGAGTCAGAGAACCTGGGTTTAGTCCAAACTAGCTCTATGAATTTGAGAAAGTCATAGAACCTCCAGGAAGCATAGCCTCCTCAAGTATAAATTAGGAATATTTACTACCTACCAGGTTGTTTTGAGGACTATGTGAAATTATACATATAAGAAGCTGAAAAGCATTTTATAATGATAAAGCACTATAAATGTCAGTGTTATTTTTATTATGGTTATTTTTATGTAAATGAAGACAGTGTTACATAAAATATTTCCATTTTGGAAATACTCCAGCTGGTATTTATTGCTTTGCCTGGTCTTGCCCTGCTTCCCCAGGAGTGCTACTAGGAGGGGTGACCTGACTCCATAAAAATGGCTGTTTGGATGTCTAGAGCCACTACTTCTCTAGCCAGTAGGGAAGTTAGTAATCTGCATCATGGAATCAATAATATCCATCTTACTAAGCAAAATAGCTTTGAGAATTATAAGAAATAACACATGAATGACTGGTACTAAGTAGGTACTCAACATGTGATATATTCCCTCCAATCTCCATTTACGTTTTAGTCTTGCCCATCAAACCAGTTCCATTCCTGATCACCCTTACATTTTATTTCCCGTATTCTTGCTCCTGGACTGCTGAATGGTACTAGAGAAAAGAAGGCAAGACCATATAGACGAGAAACAACCTACCTCTTCTTCCTCATCTCCTTCTTCTCCTATCTTCCATGTCCTCCTTTTCTTCCTTGTTCTCTTCTCCTGTTCTTTCTTCTATCCCACCCCCATTTCCCTCCTCTTGTTCCTCTTCAGCTTCTTTTATAAAATTCACTCCAATGTTAAGCAGCAGTCCTGGCACCCTCTCTCACTTCCAATCTTGCAAAAACTAGGTATTCTTCCACATCATGGCAAAACAGAGCCTCTGTTTGGGCAACACATAGCAACCCCTTTGCCATGTGTCTGCCTGCAAGATTATGCTGGGATGGGGTAGGATAGGACCTTCTTGACGAAACACTGTCTCCCTTCCTAATGGGAAGAGTTCTTTGGTTATGAAATACTGATGGAAGATTCTTTCTGTCTGTAGAAAAGTTCCCTTCCAGGGTCTCAGGGTTGGAAGGAAAATCTTAATGAACAGAAATACTCTTTTTGATTTCCTGTGTCTGGATGGTAACTCTTTCAAATAGTAACAATAGCCATGACAGCACATGGCCTCAGAACTTGTGGATGGGGAAAATGGAGGTTAGTAGATAATTGAGTTATTCACAGACTTGAAATTTATGATACTTCAGCATCTGTGGGCCCTTAGATTCTTCCTCCCAGCTCTTTGGTTCTGGACCCTGGAGGTTCTGAACCTCCAGGAGCACAGGAGGCTGGGAAATTAGTAGCAAGGCTTTGCTGTGTGTTTTGAAAGGAAACAGGTCTGGTTTCTCTTTTGAGCTGAACGAATGTTAGGTGACACTCCATAGCTGCTTCAGAAATAGATTTCTCTATATTATATGTAAGTGATGAATCACTAAATTCTATTCCTGAAACTAATATTACACTGTATGTTAACTAACTAGAATTTAAATAAAACTCAAAACTTTAAAAAAAAGATTTCTCTGTGTGGTGCTCAGGTTTCTACACTCAGGTATGGCAGCCCATCACTGGAGTATATTTGAAAGTGCTTTATGCTTATATAACTAAATTAGGTTTTCCTGAGCTCTTTTCAGAAGGAAAGGCTGACGTTTTCAAAGGCTCTATTGAGTTGCCATCCTTGAGAAATGTTATAGTTTGTTTCCTACCAGATTTCAGAATCCTTAGAGAATAAGAAATGAGAGAGAGAAGTTTTGAGCACGGGGAAAGTGATGTGTGAACCATCAGGCATGGGCTTGGGAAGACAGAGACAGCATGCTGTATTGGGGTCTTGATTTCCAGATGGTAAAGGATGTGTGAAGAGCTGAAAGTATCCTTACTTTAACCTTCTGTATAGTTTAACTTCCAGTAGCTCTGGATAGACCTTAATTGTGGCTGTGGACTCTTAGCCCACGGATTGGCCTAATCTATGCCTCAGCTTATTTTATTTGTTCTTTCTGTTCTGTACAGATTCATGAAGGTGGCAGGAAGCACGGTGGATGCAGTTACCTGGCAACAGTAGGTATTCACCATTTTTTGCTCTTACTTATTATAGCTTTGGTGAAATGAAAGATAATTAGCTGTTATGAACTTTATAGCTGACATCTAATAAGCTACCCTTTATCCTCCAAGAGAAAAAGTCAAAACTAATTCCAAAACTGTTCTTGTGATGTATATTATCTCACGGTATGCGATATCATACTATCTCATAGTAATATGATTTTGTTTTGTTGTTTAAAAAAACCCAAAAACAAACAAACAAAAAAAACCCAAAACACAAAAACAATGAAAGCTCAGCTATTATATATACTTTCAAATTAATCTGTCATTGGTGAACAGGTAATGGGAATGTGAGCATGCCATCATTTACCCATAAGCTTTTCCTTGGGAATAAATTTCCTTAAGAGAGGAAATAGTTTTAATTACTCAATATAACACGTTAAAATAACAACACTTTATTATAGCAATGGCAGTGATCCTAATTAATGCCAAGAGTGTAACTAATATGAAACAATTAAAAAAAAAAGAATATGAAGGCAATGAAGCAGCCTCAAAAGAAGACAAACCTCAGTATTCCAAGAAGCTTATAGTGGCAAAGGCTTTTTACCCTATGGTAGCTTGATTTGTAAAGATCATTATCTGACATATAAATTGATTTTCTTTAAGTTTCCTTATGATATTGGTGCTGGAATGTCAGCATCTCACAATGTCTCACCAATTTTTTACCAGAATCCTGCCCTTTCTTTCTTTTTTTTTTTTATTATATTCAGTTACCCCTTGTATAATACATCATTAGTTTTTGATGTAGTGTTCAATGATTCATTAGTTACATATAATACCCAGTGCTCATTACAACACGTGCCCTCCTCAATACCCATCACCCTGTTACCCCCTCCCCATGCCTGAAACCCTCAGTTTGTTTCCTATGGTCTATAGTCTCTCATGGTTCTTCCCCCTCTCTGATTTCTCTCCCTTCAGATTTCCCTCCTTTCCATTATGGTCCTCCATGCTATGGCTTATGTTCCACATAGGAGTGAAGAAATCTATACCACAGCATCTTCTAAGTCATCTTTCATCTAATGTGGTTCTCACAGTTCAGACCTGTGCTTCTATTCTGGGCCCTTGTAACTGTCAACTATGACCACCTCACTTAGTAAATCTAACCCTGCCTTCCCAGCACAGTTACTTTTCTTCTCTATCCTCCATTTTAAGTGGGTCACAGAATTCCTTAGGATTCGTAACAGTTGAGAAGGAAGCAAGAGCAGTGAATGAAATCTTTATTAACTATCCCAAAAGGATTTTTGATTGTTGGCAATCAATAACTTCAGTCATAATGGAAAATATTTTATTATGCATTTATACTTATTTTCTGTAAGCATCATTTTAAATGTTTCCAGGAATTCTTATCCTTCCTCCTTCAGTTTGTTTTGTGAGTCATAGATGAGTAGATCTAAAGATCTTGTCATTCCCATTCTTAAAACCCCCCAGCACCTTCCCTTTGTACTTAAACTATACTCTGGCCTATAAGGAAGGTACTTTGTGTTGCCTCTGCTACTGTATGATTATTTCTAATGCTACCCTGACCTAATTCATTCTGTCCCAATACACTAGTGGTCTTTCACTGTTTATAAGGTTCACATGCATGTCTGCCTCAGGATCTTTTTAAGTGCTGTTGTCTCTGCCTAGAATGCTATTATCCTCAGTTTTTGTGTGGCTAGTTCCCTCTCATCTCTAAAAGTTCAACTTTCATGTTATCTCCTTTGAGAGGGCTTCCCGGATGATCCTATCTAATACAGACCCCCTTTAATTCTCTTTCTTAGCTCTTTTCTTTCCATGCTACCTTACATAACTTATAATTACTTTACCAAACTTATAATTATTTTTTTCTTTTAACTTGTCTTTGTAATTTGTGTGTTTTTCTCTTCCACCAGAATGGCACTTAGTTCAATAAGTACTTATTTAGGCAATTGTTTACGGAGCCTTTACTATGGGGGAAAATGACAACAATGATGAAAACTGTGCAGGAAATGTTGCAAACCTTTTATACCTTACTGTATCTGATTCTCACAACAACCAAATGAGTTTGGAACTAGTTTTATCTCTTGCATAACTTAAAGGAAGTTGTAGAAACTCCAAACATTGCACAGAAAGTGGTAGATTTGGGACTTATAGTTGAGTGTGTCTCACTCCAAGGGTTATTCTCTTAACTGTTACTACTTTAATAATAAGACAATGATTTTTTGCTGAAAATATTACATTCTACTAGAGCAATTCAAATCCTCTTCAGTGTCTTTCATCAAAAACTATCTTGATAATGTAGCATAAAGGCTGAAGCTTGAAGAATTCATACTGTTTGTAAGGAGAAATAAAGAGATCAGTGTATGAAAATTATTGGGTAAGAATGTAAGACATGCTCAGTTATTGTGACTTGACAAGGAGGGATCAGAAAAAGTTTTTCTTCCATATTCAAACTCTCTCCATAACACAAATGGAATGAAGTGAGTGCAGTCTTTTTTTATAATGGAGAAATAAGACTTTTATAAATATATTTTATTAGTTATTTTTAAAATATTGGCCACCTCTCAAGATAAATGTCATGTGTTTACAACTACTATAAAAATACCCCTTAAAGCAGGCAAGGGATTGTGTTTCTTTTGGCTCCAGGACCAGCACTCATTTGGGGACAACCAGTAGCACCTGGAATCTACCATTTATCCCTTCCACCCACAGTTTTCAATCAAGACTTGGAATAGTGATGGAACAATTCCAGGAGATCCTGGCCAGGAGTCCAGGAGGATTTAGTGAAAATTAAAGCCAAATACCATGTTTCCCTAACCCCGAGAAATGCTGAGGTGAACTACTTAATGTAAAGAAATCAAGAGTCAAAGTCAGAAAAAAAAAAAAATGAACACTGAATTTGTCAGTAAATAGCTATATATAGGTAGCCAAAAGAATCAATTCAGTACTGGAGTACTGAACTTGGAACTTGAACAAGAACTTTGAGTCTGAAGTAAAAAATAAAGATGCCTATATAGTTGGACTATTTTGATTTGAAATTCATGCTCTTGGGTTTTAAGGACCAAGATACATGACTTAATGATTGGTCCTTCCAAATCCATGCAGAAAAGCCAGCATGGAGGTTCTTCAAAAAGTTGAAAAATAGAGCTACCCTATGACCCAACAATCGCACTGCTGGGTATTTACCCTAAAGATAAAAATGTAGTGATCCAAAGGGACACGCCCAAATTTTTATGGCAGCAATGTCCACAATAGCCAAACTATGGAAAGAACCTAGATGTCCATCAACAGATAAATGGATAAAGAAGATGTGGTGTATATGTAGACAATGGAATACTATGCAGCCATCAAAAGGAATGAAATCTTGCCATTTGCAATGATGTGGATGGAAGTAGAGGGTATTGTACTGAAAGAAATAAGTCAATCAGAGAAAGACAATTAATTCTCATAAGAACTCCCTGATATGAGGAATTTGAGAGGCAGGGTGGGAGGTTTGGTGGGTAGGGAAGGAAATAATGAAACAAGATGGGGTCAGGAGGGAGACAAACAATTGGAGACTCTTAATCTCACAAAAAAACTGAGGGTTGCTGGGGGAGGGGGGAATAGAGAGGGTGGTTGGGTTATGGACATTAGGGAGGGTATGTGATAATGGTGAGTGCTGTGAAATGTGTAAGCCTGATGATTCACAGATCTATACCCCTGGGGCAAATAATACATTATATGTTAACATATAAAAGAAAAGTTAGTGAGATGAAGTTCCAATTACATGAGTAAGTAGTACACTAGTTTGTATCAGTTATCAATGATAAATCTAGAACAAAAAAATAATACACACACACACACACACACACACACACACATACACACACACAGAGGAGAATGACCAAAAGGCGGCAAAAGCTAGAGAAAGTTATTCAATCCTTGAAAGAATTGAATGATGCTAGTAAGATATGTGTTCACTTAAGAATCTATGCAGTATGATGTGGTTAGAACTCAAACAAAATACATGGTTGTATATTCGTGTAAAGTCTTAGAAGGAGTCAGAAGGTAGAAATCTCAGAAAGAAGGAGCTATGGGCAAAACACAAAACATGCTCATAAACTTCCTTCAAATCCTTGCCTGATCCCTGCAATGTGCATATTCAAGGGAGACCCCAAAGAGCCTGGTAGAAAATAACAGCTGGAAATCTGAAAAAGTTGAACAGCAATTTCAGCTGCTGTCACATGAGGGACAGAGATTAGAACTTGAATTTCACAAATTTAGAGGGACTTCATAAGTACCTTGTGCTTTCCACTGAAAACTAAGAGTTATGCCTCAGGAGTAAAGTCTTGTCCTGGGTCTAAGGATTTTCCCTGAATCCAATGTATGAATAAAACAGATTCATCCTAACAACGTGTAAACTGAAGATGCCCATAAGAACGAGATGATCAGTCATTCGTCCAATTTCCTGATATATCCAAACCAACACTCTTCTGTCTCTATAAAATATCACCCACACTTTGAAGTACACAATTAAAAAATTACTAGATATGCAGAGAAATGGGAAATTGTGAGTCTTGGCCAAAAGAATGAGCAATAAATAGAAACCCAGAGATGACCTAGGTATTGAGGGATACAAACCATAAGAGACTCTTAATCTCAGGAAACAAACTGAGGGTTGCTGGCAGAGTGGAGGGATAGGGTGGTTGAGTGATGGACACTGAGGAGGGTATGTGCTATGGTGAGCGCTGTGAATTGTGTAAGACTGATGATTCACAGACCTGTACCTCTGAAACAAATAATACATCATATGTTAATAAAAAAAAATTTTAAAAAGAATCAGTTGACAAGGATTTTAAACAAATATTGTAAATATATTCAAATAATTAGGGAAAATGTTTGTATTGAGTGGAAACATAGGGAAAGATCAGCAGTGAAATGGAAACAATATATATATAAAAGAACCAAATGAAATTTTTAAAGAAAAGAAGAAACAAACGAAAAACTCACTGGGTGCACTT